CCCGGAAAGACTTAACGTCTCCGCCGATAACGTGGACGAAACGACTCGACGGAGCCTCTGACTTCTCCAAGACAAGAGCGAAACGCGAGAACGGCGATTATCTTTGATCCTGGAATCCCCTAGCATCACGAGCCAGCCTCCTTGAGCACCGTCTCTTTTAGCGGACCTGGGGCCCCCCGCGTCACTGCACGTGACCATGGTCACGGCATTCAGGTCCAGGGGCCAAATCGTCAGACAGGAGCTGGCCGTACACCGGAGGTGGCGAGCTACCTTGTTAGCCATGAGAGCCGAGGCTATCTTGACCTGTGGGCATTCGGCGCTCAGCATCGAGGCGGATCCGGACACGTCGGGACGAGACTGGCGGGCCGCCCAGAGAATCTTCGCCACCAGGCCGCGATAGTCTCGGAGCTCTCTTGCATCGAGCAGCTCCTCGGGACATTTAACACGCTCCTTGTCGAGTCTCATGGGACGGACCTGCTCCAGGATATATTTTTCCTGGTCGACGAGAATGCGCCCATCAGACTGCTGGCGGATCCTTCTCCCTGCGTACTCGGCCTCACCGACCTGCCATTTACCGAAACGGAAACGACCGGTCAACAACTTCTTGAGCTCACTCTCATATGAGGGTTCGCAAGAAACAATAAGATCGTCGACCTCAATCACCACAAGAGCCCTGAGACTACCCGAGGCATGGTGGGCAACCCAAAGACACGGCTCCAAAAGGGAGCGCCGAAACCCCAGGGACTTGAGGTGATTGGTCAAGGTCTGGTGCCAGCGAATCGGAGCATCGTTCAGGCCGTAGACTGGGGCCACAAGTTCCAGGAGGGCCCCCCGGGGGACGTCAACGCCATCGCATGGCTCGACATATATCTTCCCGTTGGGGCGGGAGAGGGGGTCCGCCTGGCAAAAGGCGTTCTTACAGTCCGCTATCTGAAGCCTCCACTTCTTGCCAGCTATCAGCTGGAGAGCAACCAACACAGCCTCCTCCTGAGGAGTCGGAGCGTACACGTGCAGAGACTCCGCGTCAGGATCGGCATACCCCCTCACGCACCAGCGCGACTTTGCCTTCTCGCTGGCTCCCGTGCCCTCCTGCGGCTTCCACCGACGGACCATGCGCGACGAGAGAATCCTGGATGGATCCCTCCGACGGACCAGGGTCGCCTCCGCGGGGGAGACCACTCTCACTGCCTTAGTGGCGGTCATGGCGGACCACTCGGCCGCGTCCGCCTTCTTGAACTCCTCTCGCTCTTCTGGACTGAGTTTGTTCCAGACGACCTCTTGGCCCCGCCGGGGCCCACCTGGAGTCGGTCCGGCCGTGGCGAACGAGGAGGTCGGACCGTGTTCTTCGTCCCCGGGACCCGGACCCCAGGTCGCCAACTCCTGGAGGAGCATCCGGTCCTGTTCGTCAGCCCCGTCCTCTTCCCTGAGCTCGATCAAGCCCTCCTCCTCTCCGCAAGCCAGTTCGATCAAAGTGCCGGGGTCGCCTCTGGCGTCGTCCGCCGAACTCCTCTGGGCCTCCCACTCCTGAACCCTCTCGGCCACGGAGGCCGACTCTCGGAGCTCCACCGGCGTCACCCCGGGACCCGCGGGGATAACGTGGATGCGAGAGAGCAACCCGCGCATGGGCGACCCGGCTCGCCGAGTGTGTCGAGACGTCGATTCCTCAGCTGGTCGGGCGGCAGCTCGCGGAGATCTCTCTCTGGCTCTTTCAGGCTCGACTGAAGCTCCTGGATTCGAATCGCCTCGACAGCCGTCGATGGTCCTGACTAGACTGGGAGCGGAAGAGGCAGCGGGGGACGGGCTGGGACTGCCTTCTACTCGGGGGCGAGCTCTAGGGGGTTCCTCCAGGCCGGGAGGGGGATGCAACTTGTCCTCTTTGTCCTCGAGGGGTTCGGTCCTGACAAATCGGCCCAGGTCAGGAGCAGGACGGAGGGGGTACGGGGCATCCAAAGCTCGGCGCAGGTCCTAGGGAAGCTCGCTCTGGTCTCCTAGGCTCACAACCTCGCTGCTTTCAGGAATAGTCGGAAGAGGGGACCGGGCTTCCACCGAGGCTTCCGCGGGCTCCGAGGGACGAGCCGACGCCGTTCCGCCTCCTCCGCCAGTAGTGACCGGTCCCCCTGCCTCGGCCCCGATCGTGTCCTGACCGTCCCAGGCCTCGTCCGGGGGGGAACCCTCGGATTCGACGTCCAGAGCCCCCACCTTCTTGCCTGGGTTGCGAACTTCGGCCTGAAGGGCCCGAAACTCCGGGGTATCCACGAGTTCGGCTCCGAGCGCCTCGGCACGCGTCGCCTCTCGGACCTGTTCGACCGAGCACTTCCATAGCTTGGTTCGCATCGCGATCCAAACTGTGGTTCCCTTGTGAAAGACGACGGCCCCGGGGCCGACCCACCGGTCTCGTTGCAGCGCGTGAGTTTTCACCCCTGTCACCTTGCGCCACACGTACACCCACTGGCCAGGCAGAAAGACGCGATCGACATGGGGTCGAGATCTCCGGGCCTCGGCGAGACGCGACTTGGCGTCCGCCGCCATCAAGGCCTTCTTGGCCTGCTCACGGATCTGATGCTTTCTGGCGAACGCACTGGCCGCACTATCCTCCGTGGCGGACTCTGCTTGGACATCTGCTAGACCGATATCGTCCACTCCCTCGTCGCTGAGGAGAGACCTTGGCAGTCTGGGGTTCTCTCCGAAGACAAGCTGGTACGGAGAGTACCCAGACCGGTGGTAGTATCGATTCTTGGCGGACACTGTTTCATGAAGCAACAACTCGACCTCGGCATGAGACGTCGGCTGGATATGATCGGAGGCCTTCGTCAGAGCGTTCTTGATCCATCCTCCGTGTCGCTCCGCCCGGCCGTTCTGCCACGGAGACGTGGCGTCACAGACATGCTGAAACACGCCTGCATGCTCACAGCCACGGCCGAACGCGCCCAGGAATTCTGATCCTCCATCGCTGATGACGACCTCGGGGGGGCCAAAGATCCTGATCCAGCTCTTGTCAAAAGCCTCCCAGATATTCTCGGACGTCAGTGGTTCCCCGGGGCCGAGCAGATGGCACAGCTGAAAGTTAGTGCCGTGATCGAGCATGTTCAGAACCGTCATCTTAGTGCTGAGAATCGTAACGAACAGACAGTCCACAGCAACGAGCCGATTGAACCGGTAGGTTCGGGGAACGGCGGCTCGACGCCTCCACGACGGTCGGGTGTGGCTGTCACACTGCTCGCAACGAAACTCGTGCTTGACGTATTCTATAACTTCGGGCCGAGCCTGGGCAACCTGCAGCATTTTCAAGAAGGCGTCCCTTGACGGGTGGCCCAGGTTCACGTGGGTCCGGGAAACCTCCAGGCGCTGACTTCGACTGATTGACCCGGCCTGCCTCCCCGCTCTCTGACTAGACCCGAGTCCTTCCCTCCCCTCGCCCTCCTCGGGCTCGTCGTCCGAGCCAAGGTCCTCTTGGGCTGGAAAGGAGGCAACCTGTCGGTCGATTGGTCTGGGGGATGGGACCCCTGTCACCCTTCTCTCGGCCAGCCACTCGGGATCCTCCCAAACGCCGGACCACAGGGTTTCCTCCCGGTGCCCGAGGGCGACGATGCGAGCTGACTCCAGGATTCCCTCGCACATGGCCTGGACGAGTCCCGGGGGGTAGTTCTGGGCCGCTCGCGTGAGGGCCCTGCCACAGAGCTGACGATGCTGATGACTCCCGTCGCACCTGAGCAGGAGGGGCTGCAAAATAGACGCACGGTTGGTCATGAACCTGGTTGGTTTCTTGTTGGGTTCTCCTCCCTTCACGGACAAACCGTACTGGCAGAGATCGGCAACCCCCGACACGACGCTCGGCCGATTCAAGATTTCCCGCACCGAGTCCATTTCCCAGGAGCTGGCACCCTCGGGGTGCTCAAGAAGGAAACCACGGCCCCGACCCATCTGGTATTCGGCCACTCTAACGCACAGGGACATGAACTTGAGGCCGGCGGTCTCGGGGTCTGTGAGGTCGGTTCCCTTGAGTCGATGCCAACTGGGACGACGGGCAACGGAGAAGGCCAGACACTCAGGGCTCATGACTATGACCTCGGGCCGATCTCGCTCTATGATACTCCACATCGCACGTTCCCCTGACGGAGACCCGAGATCATAACCGGTCCGTAAATCCAGGCTCTTGGAAACGGGATAGCCCTGCCCTTTCAGACTGTCCGCGACCCGTGGGACCGAAAAGAGTTCCAAGATCAGTTTGCGGCCGGACCCCAAAAGCCAGTCCTGGACGAGCTTCTTCCGCCGCTTCCGCTGCTTCCTCACCGGTCCCTCCCCTCCTGCGGCCAACACGGCGTCTCGGACCTCCCTGGGAACCAGGCACTCACTTTCCTGGGAGAAAACCAATCCTGAGATCGAGGGGGCCCGGCCAAGGGAGTATATGCCTTCCAGCGGAGACGCCGGTCCAGCCGGAGTCCTCGAACTCGAGCCGGGCGGAGGTACGTTCGTAGACGCCGAAGCTGTCCACGCCTCTACGGTGGTGTGGTCCAGGGGTTCGTTGGCGATGGCGAGCTGTAACTGCCGCGCCGAGAAGTCTGAGGAGAGGGAGTCGTAGAGGGTGTTTCCTGACGCTCCTGAGCAGCGGATCCTGACCCAGTCCGAAAGCCACTCGCCTAGGTCGCCCGGGTCGGGCCGACGAACTAAGTAGCAGGCCACTTGGGCCATCAGGCGGCATTTTTCTTCTGGATCGAGCCGGTGGGATTCCCAGCCCCGGGCCCTGGAAACCTCATCGAGCGTGACCGTCCGACCTTCCCTAGTGTCCCACCATATGCCCGAGGCTCTAAAGCTGCTGTCTCGGTGACTTTTGCCGAGACAGCGGGATCGTGCGACAGAGGCTGCTCGCCAGATTCCCCCTCCTTCCCCGGGTTCCGCACAGAAAGATCCTCCTGGAGTGGGTCCCTGGAGGTCCCGACCGTCCTGGATCCCCGAGCTCCCTTGGTCCCCCTCCCTGATCCTCCTTCGGCTCTCTGAGCCCCTCAGGTCCCCTTCTGCACGAGCTGCTGGATCGCCAGCGCCAGCTGCGATACCACCTCGCTGTTGGTCTGGATCGCCTTCATCATCTGGTTGAGGTCGGAGCTGCTCGTCTCTACCGTCGTGTCGGCCGAACCGGACGACGCCGCTGGAGTAGCCCTGGCCGCCCTCTTGACGCCCTCCTTGCTGCGACCCTCGACCTTCGGCGGCTCCCAAGGCGGCGTCTCCAGCTGCTTGGTCCTCGCCGCCCGCCGGGCCTCCTTCTCGACCTTCTTGAGCTGCTGGGCCTGCTTCTCGCGGTGCGTGAGGTCCCTTCTCCAGATCATGCTCGAGCACCTCAGGCACTTGACGTAGCGCATGTGCTGGTTGCCTGACTCCCAGTGGGCCCAGGGTGGATGAGGGCACTCCAGGGCGTTCATCTTCCCGGTCGCCTCGTCGCGCATCTCCTGTATCATCTTAGTCGCCTGTCCCACGTCGGCCACGTGCATCAGCTTGACCGTCATCCGCTTCCAGGCCTTCCTCAGGGAGCTCGTCTGGAGGCCGATGTGGGGCCTTGACGTCGGCTGGGGCGGTGACGGAGATGTGGGACGGGTCGAGGCCGCGCCGTCCTGCAGCGGCTGGGATGACTGCTCGCTCCCCTCGGACTCCAGGTCGGATCCCGGCAGCCTCTCCCAGCTGGTGTCCATCGGCTCCGAGAAGGTGACTGACGGCCGGGGAGTCCCTGGTGCTGAATTCTTCCTCGAGGCCCCCTCTCGCTTCAGACTGGAGCTTCTCCTCACCGCTGGCGTGCGAGCTCTCCCGGACGCCATGGCTTTCTCGTGACAGAGGCTCCTGCTCTCTTGGCCCGTGAGATGAATCGAGGAAATCGGACGTGCTCTCGAGCCCACGGGTCTGTATGACGGTTGAGGTGAGCTCCGAGAGTTGCCTCCTGGTCTCTCCGCCGCCTCCTCTCCCTGTGCCACCTCCTCTGGTACCTGTATCCTCCTCAGCTTCTCCTTCTCTTGTACTTCGTGATCTCCCCGTAGTGCCTCTTGAGTCCTTGAGTTGGGTATCCTGGAATCCTGCCGGGCCGATCCCCCCCTTCCCTTCTACGGTCCCGGGGGTTTCGAGTTCGAGGGGGTCCAATACGGGCTCTCCTGAGGCCTCGGGCGCAGAGGAGGGGAGGATGGCAAAGGAGGAAGGCCTGTACACTCGAAACGTGTCATTCTCGAGGCCCGGCCAGTCGCGCCGGGCCCCCTCAGGAATGTCGAAGTCCCCCGGGAGGCTCTCGTCCAGCAGCGCCATGGTGCGATGGCCGGACCTCTGCCTCGTGAGCTTGACGGTGCGGTCGAGCCCCTCGAAGCGCAGCGTGATCTTGTCCTCGGCCAGGTTCACGACGGCCCCCAGGCTCTCCATCCAGCGCACGGGCAGGAGGAGGGGGACGTCCTCCGCGATCACCCTGAAGAGGATGAGGCACCGGATCCCCGCACTGGTCACCGGCACCATCGCTTCCCCGACGACCCTGGAGCGGCCGCCGATCCCCTTGGCGCTGCTGTTGCCGTCGGTCTTTCTCACCGGGATTCGCCAGCCCTTCTTGTAGTACTTCTCTTGCAATACCTTCAGCTGCTTCTCGCCCACCAGCGCCTGCCCGGCCGCCGTGCCCACCATGCCCTCCGGCTCGTCGCCTTCGATGTCCAGGATGAACGTGCCGAGGATCGCCTCCTCTGACTTCGAACGAGGCCCACCTGGCCCCAGCTCTCTGTCATCGGGAGCTGCTCCCTCTGACCTCGAACGAGGCCCACCTGGCCCCAGTTCTCCGCCGTCGGGATCGCCTCGTTCCTCCGCGAGTCCCACCTGGCCTCGCAGAGGCTGGTCGGCTAGCACTCGTCCGTGGCCCACCTGGCCTCGATCGCAGGACTCGCCGATCAGCACGTTCCGAAACAGCTCCCGAATCCGAGGTCCTCCGACGAGGAAGGTGCCGTCGCCCTCGTCCAGCAAGTCCGCCGCCACGTAGAGCGACTTCCCCCCGAGCTCCTTCTTGGGCCGCTGCTCAATCTGCTTCGGCTTGTACGGATTGGTGCACTCCTTGCGCCAGTGCCCCTTCTGACCGCAGTTGGCGCACCGCGTCCTCTCCTTGAGGCGGGCGATCTGAGGCGCTGCTTGCCCGCTGGCGGGCGTGGCGCCGCCCGGCCTCCGGCTCTCTTGGAGTCGAAGAAGTCGCGGTCCCGAGCAATGGCCTTCTTCAGCTCTCGCGACTCTGCCCACTTCCGAGGCCGGCCCTCCTTGGTCCTCTTCTCGTCCAGCACCGCGGCCAGGACGGCCGCCGCCTGGTCCTCGTCCAACTCCTGGTTGGCGATCGCCTCGTAGAAGGCCAGCGCGTCCTCGGTGTCCAGGATGAGGTCCTCCTCCAGCTCGAGGTAGACCTCGCTGCTGCCGAACACCTCCTCGTCGTCCTCGTCCTCGTCGTGTCCGACCGCGTACACCCTCGACTTTTTCTGGCTGCTCTTCTTTTTCACGTCCATCTTCTTCAAACCCTGCTTGATCGACTCCAGATCCTCACGGCCCTGGGTGATCGAGAGCAGGTTGATCGCATTCTGTTCGCTCAGGTTCGCTCCACTCCTCAGCTGCTGCACCTGGACCTGCTCTGGGAGCTCGAGCCCGTACCTCTTCGCCGACTTCACCTGCAGGTCCCGGCGCATCACGTACTGGGTGAACGACTCCCCCGCTCTCATCTCGGTGTCCTCCAGTGCCAGCCTGAAGCTCTCCTTGGCCTCGTCGCCGTCCTGGTCGCCCCGGCACCTCTTCAGGAAGTCGATGAGGACCTCGATGCCGCCGGGGGCGTCGAGCTCCTCCGCGTAGTGCAGGAGCCTCTCCTGCATGTCCACGGGCAAGCCGTCGATGACCTTGCCCGCCTGCTGCTCCGCCGGCAGGCCCGTCCTTCTGCTCCATCGCCGTAGGGCCACTACGTAGGTCTCGAGATGCTCGAAGCCTCCCCACGGCTGAGGGCCCTGCGTGTCTGACGGGCGCCACGTGGACGTCGATCCTCCGTCGGTGGGTGCCCACGGCCGTGGCGGTGGCGGAACCTGCGTCGCCCCGACCGTCAGCTCCGTCGCTGCTGCTGCGAGTGGCTGGGTCGGCTGCGCTGGAGCCATCGTCACCGCGGGTGGCCGTGCCGGCGGCGTCGCCGGCGCAGGTGCCGACGGAGGGGCCTGCGCCGTGGCGGGATCGCTCCCGGCCGCTCCGCGCATCAGCCCGTGGGGGAGCGGCGGCTGCCGCGGCCTCTGGATGGTGACCCAGACCTCGCCCTCGTTCGCCGGTGAGCTGGTCCACCAGTGGTCTGCATATTCATTCACCTGAGAGCCGGTCCACCAGCTGGCTGAGCCCCACCATTCTCTCCACGAATTCCACCAGCCGGCATGGTTGTTCCCAGCCGCGTCGCTCCACGGGTCCCCCTGCAGCCAGGGGTCTGCCTCCTCTGCTGTCGTTGCCGGCAAGGGAGCTCCCGCGCGGCCTGTCCCTCGGCTGCCGCTCCCTGCCGTTGCTGGCTCTGCTCGCGCCCCTTGGTCTCCGCTGGGAGCCTCGGGCGCTGGTGCTGCTACTGCTGCTGCTGCTGCTGCTGCTAGTGCTGCTCTGGCAGCACGCTCCACCTCGTCGGGCGGGAGGGGCTGCTCGCCTCCCTCGGCGGCGCCCGTCGGCCCCTGTCCCTGCCCAACCATCACGCTCCTGCTACCATGTGAAACGGGTTCGCGGGCGGATCGAGGGACTCTGGAGGCCTGGGGGCGCGCGGGGCGACAAGCGGGAGGCCCCTCTCCTCCCGGATGTTTTGCGCACTTGAGCCACATCGGCGTCAGTACAGTCATGCTCGCATGCTGTGGGACGCCACCCCAGCGACACTGGACACAGTGTCGCACAACTCGTGAAACACATCAAACTCTGAGAATACTCTAGGGGACCTCATGGGACAGGGGGTCGAGTATTTAAAAGACACTGGCGAGGGAGGCCGGCGGATTTCCGCTCGATGCAAAGCATGGTGAAGTCAAACTTTTTGTTTTTCTCCCGCAAGGGGCGTGGGCTGCAGGGTTCTCTTTTGGTGTCGTTCCAAGTGGTTCCAGTTCTGGACAATCATGTTAGATATCCCACTGGGTGGCCCGGACAGGTAAGAAACACGTGGTTCCAGCTCGGGACCACCATGTCAGATGCCCCCCTGGATGACCTGGGCCCCCGTGAGGCCGCCTGGAGAGGGCCGCTCTATAGGAACATGCATAAACACACGGATTCGTGCCCCTGGAGAGGGCCAATCAAAAGGAACACACGTAAAAACACATGTATTCGTGCCCCTGACCCGAATGTGTCCCGCACCCTTTGGTTTATCAATCGGGACTTCAATAATTAGTGTTTCGCTAGGAATATCCTCGATGCTTCCACGCCGAATGGGATGTTACTTCGTCATTTATCGCCAATAATTTCGCCGGCCGAAACCAGGGGGGCTATCTAACATGATTGTCCCGATCAAGGACCATCTGTTTTGACGTGTTCAGGCCGCCCAAGGGGGTATCCAACATGGCGTCGGGCCCAACGCCGAATTGTCAGAAAGAGCGTGTTGTACCGCTGCTGGCGGAAAACCGGGGGGGTCACTACCGGTTCGAACCCTTTCCCCCCCCCAAAGTCCATCGTGCAAAGGGGGGGGGGTCACTACGGGTTCGAGCACCCCCCCTCTCGAAAACCGGGGGGGGTCACTACCGGTTCGAACCTCCCCTCCACTCGCCGCCGGCAAAAGATCCCCGCTCCTCGGGACAGTTGGACAATGGTGGGGATGCTGGGACAGTGGTGGAAACAGTGGTGGTGGGGACAGTGGTGCGGGGACAGTGGGACAGTGGTGCGGACAGTGGTGGGGACGGTGGTGGCGGGGACAGTGGTGAGGGACAGCGGGACAGTGGTGGGGACAGTGGGACAGTGGTGGGGACGGTAGTGGCGGGGACAGTGGTGAAGGCGGTGGTGAGGATTGTGGTGGGACAGTAGCACAGTGGGGAAAGTGGTGGGGACAGTGGGGACAGTGGAAGAGTGATGGGGACAGTGGGGACGGTGGGACAGCACAGTGGGACAGCGGCGGGGACAGTGGGACAGTGGTGGGTACAGTGGGGACAGTGGGACAGTGGTGGGGACCGTGGTGAAAGTGGGGAGAGCGGGACCGTGGCGTGACAATGGTGGGGAGAGTGGAGACAGTGAGACACTGGCGGGGGCACTGGTGGGGACAGCGGGGACAATGGTGGGAACAATGTGGACAGTGGGAAAGCAGTGGGGACGGTGGTGGTGGGAACAGTTGTGTGGGGACAGTGGGAATGTGGTGGAAGCAGTGGGACAGTGGAGGGTACAGTGGTGGTGGCGACAGTGGTGAGGGCGGTGGCGAGGACGGCGGTGGGACAATGGGACAGAGGTGCAGTGTGGACAGTGGTGTGGACAGTGGTGGGGACAGTGGGGACAGTGGTGGGAACAGTGGGACAGCTCAGTGGGACAGCGGCGGGGACAGTGGGACAGTGGGACAGTGGGACAGTGGGGACCGAAGGACAGTGGTTGGGGCCGTGGAGAAAGTGGGGAGAGTGGAACAGTGGTGGGAACAGTGGTGGGGACAATGGGGACAGTGCGACAGTGGTGGGGGCACTGGTGGGAACAGTGGGGACGGTGGTGGGAACAGTGGGGACCGTGGTGGTGAGGACAGTGGTGCTGGGGACAGCAGTGGGGGATGTGGTGCGGACGGTGGTAGGGACCCGGGAGTCGTTTGCTGGCGGTGAGCGCGGGGGGGGGGTTCGAACCGGTAGTGACCCCCCCCGGTTTTCCGCGGGGGGGGGTTCGAACCAGTAGTGCCTCCCCCGTTTTTTTTTGGGGGGGGGAGGGGTTCGAACCGGTAGTGACACCCCTTGGTTTTCGGGAAGGGAAGGGGGGGAGAGGGGAAGGGTTCGAACCGGTGGTGACCCCGCCTCTGGTTTTCGAGGGGGGGGGGAGTTCGAACCGCTAGTGACCCCCCCCCGGTTTTCCGGAGGGGCGCGGGGGGTTGGAACCGGTAGTGACCCCCCCCGGTTTTCCGGTGGTGGGGGGGGTTAGGGGGAGGGTTTTTTTTCCGGGAGGGAGGGGGGTATAGGGGGGAGGTTCGGCAGAGGGGGGGGGATTTTTGGAGTGGGGGGGAGACCCCCGGGTTCCGGAGAAATTTTCCATAGTAAAGCGGCGGCGGATCACGTTCTCTCTATTTTCAGGAAACGGACGTGGGGCCGAAAGACGCTACCCGGACACATATCACAATCGGAGGTGAGGGGGTGAGATCGAAGTGGAACGGAGAGCCCCCCTACCGGGAAATCGATTTCGGTTTCGTGTTCGTGCGTGCCGTGCGTGCGGGCGAGGCGAAGCTGCGTGGGCGGGCGAGAAGAAAGTCTCCTGTGGCTGAGGCGCGGCCGGACCAAATGTCTCCCTTCCGGGCGGCCGGTGGCCCGCGGTGTCCCGCCGGTGTCCCGCTGGTGTCCCGTGTGGCTGAGGCGCGGCCGGACCAAATGTCTCCCTTCCGGGCGGCCGGTGGCCCGCGGTGTCCCGCCGGTGTCCCGCGGTGTCCCGCGGTGTCCCGCGGTGTCCCGCGGTGTCCCGCCGGTGTCCCGCGGTGTCCCGCGATGATGATGATGATGATGATGATGATGATGATGATGATGATGATGATGATGATGATGATGATGATGATGATGATGATGATGATGATGATGATGATGATGATGATGATGATGATGATGATGATGATGATGCTGATGCTGATGCTGATGCTGATGATGATGATGATGATGATGATGATGATGATGATGAATGGTGATGGTGATGCTGATGATGGTGCTGGATGATGCTGATGTGATGTCGATGCTGATGATGATGATGATGATGATGATGATGATGATGATGATGATGATGATGATGATGATGATGATGATGATGATGATGATGATGATGATGATGATGATGGATGATGATGATGATGATGATGATGATGATGATGATGATGATGATGATGATGATGATGATGATGATGATGATGATGATGATGATGATGAGATGATGAATGATGATGATGATGATGATGATGATGATGATGATGATGATGATGATGATGATGATGATGATGATGATGATGATGATGATGATGATGACGATCGAGTGAGATCGAGTGTGAGATAGATCGAGTGAGATCGAGTGAGATCGATTGTGAGATCGATTGTGAGATCGATCGAGGGAGATCGATCGAGCGAGACCGATACTGAGATCGATAGTGAGATCGATAGTGAGACCGATCGAGTGAGACGTTGGTTCCTCCCCCCCCGAACCTCCTCATCACCCGAAGGGTGGTCGTATAGGTACAAAAACATATTTTCTTGCTCTGGACAGGGGGATGGCGCTTTGGGGGCCTCTCCAGGGAAGACATTGCGAGGGTGTCTCGAGCGGGAGCGCGAATGCAGCGTATCCAGGGCTCGCAGGGGGGTATCTAACATGGTTGTCCCGAGCTGGAAGCAAGTGTTTTTACATGTCCGGGTCACCCAGGGAGATATCTAATATGGGTGTCCCGAGCTGGAAACATGTGTTTTTACATGTCCAGGCCAGCCAGGGAGGTATCTAACATGATTGTCCCGAGCCAGAACCATGTGTTTTTACGTGTCCAGGCCACCCAGGCGGATATCTAACATGGTTGCCCCAAGCTTGAACCATGCGTTTTCATGGTCCAGGCCACCCAGGGGGGTACCTAACATGGTTGTCCCGAGCAAGGACCACGTGTTTGAACGAGTCCAGGTTACTCAGGGGTGTAAATAACATGGTTGTCCCGAGCTGGCACCATGTGTTTTTGCGTGTCCAGGCCACCCAGGGGGATAGCTAACATGGTTGTCCCGAGCACGGACCACGTGTTTTAAAGTGTCCAGGCCATCCCTGGGTGTATCTGACATGGTTGCCCAGAGCTGGTCACTCGTGTTTTTACGTGTCCAGGCCACCCAGGGGGGTATATAACATTGTTGTCCCGAGTTAGAACCACGCCGTTTTACGTGTCCAGGCCGCTCAGGGGGTATTTAACATGGCGGAGCCATGTGCTTTAACGTGTCCAGGCCACCTAGGGGGCATCTATCTAACATGAGCCTCCTGGGGCATTCCTGGGGGCTTGGAACGGACGTCTAACATGAAGGTGTGTTGAGGATGTCTCGAGCGAAACGCTTGTTTTCACGTGTCCAGTTCGCCCTGGCGGATGTCTAGCATGAGGATGTGTTGAGGATGAGTTGAGCGAAACGAGTGTTCTCACGTGTCCAGGTCGCCCAGGCGGATGTCTAGCTTGTCCCCATCACGTTCCGTAGCGCGTCCCCTTGGCACGTCCCGCGGTGCGTTCCCATGGCACGTCCCTTGGCACGTCGCCTGGCGCGTCCCTTGGGACGTTCCGCGGCGCGTCCTCTTGGCATGTCCCCCT